GTGCCTTGCTCAGAAGTAACATGGTGTGGAATACCATGACAATAAATATGGCATTCTGTAAATTCAAAGATGGTGGTTTTAGCAAAAGCATTGTGTACCTGGAAGGCAAGTACGGATCCGGAATAAGTATCTATTCCAGTAAGCACAATATGCTGTCTTTTCCATGATGTAAGTGGCCCTATATAATCAACCTGCCACCGGGTACCTGACCCCAGTTTCATTGCCATTTTCACATATGCCTCCATTCCAATATTTAGTATCCCATTTGTTCCCAATAAGTGCCCTTTTATAAAAGAAGACACCCTGTGAGGTTGAACATTTAATTTGTGATATAATTCAGCCAATAGCAGGATGAGACTCTGGGTTTAGTGTTCAGAAATCCCAGTCTAGTGGCTACAGGAGATAAGGGGTTCTTTCAGGACAGGCACAGAAATTTTCAAGTTGTATATGCAGAGCTTAAGCTAGGGATTTGAAATTCTGAGCACAATCCTTTTCTCTCTACTTTTTCAAGCATGGCAAAGAGCAAACAGCCAATCTTATTATACCTCTTTATTTGACAACAATATTTTAAGTTGTCAAATATATGATCACTCTGAACATTGCCATGCATACATTTTTGATTAGGAGTATCCAATGTTGATATTTCGTGTATCTCCATCATCTCTTCATGCCATGACTTGGTGTTTTTGTTAATACTGGAAATAGAGTTTTTAGTGCCTTAAATCTGAAATTAGAGACTCAATTACTGAAACCCCAGAACCAATTCAGAAAACTCATCCTTAGGATTCCGTTCCAGAGAAGCTGCAGCAGCATGCACGTGGCCAGCATGACTGTGGGAGGTAGCGAGTGCAAAGTCGTCACATCAGCCCAGCAGGCTGGACATTTCACACAGAAGCTACTGCTGAAGTCTGGAGGCAGAGTTTCTTCTTCACAGAAAACTTAGTGTTTGCTTTTAACACTCTTCAACTAATTTGGTGGGGCTGACCCACATTAATGAGAACAATCTTCTTTACTTAGAGAAAGCTGATTGGAGACGGCATCTACAAAGAACTTTCAGAGCACCCCCGAGAATAGTGTTTGACTGAATGACTGGACACTGCAGCCTTGCCAGGCTGTCATGCAGAGCGCAGCACGAGTGCCAGCATCTGTTTAACTAGGGGTTGCAGAGTGACTTTGCTGTGTGACTGTGGCAGCTCTGATCCAGGCAGGCGTGTGAGGTGTCTCTTCTTTTTTTTTTCTTTTGAGACAGAGTGTCACTCTGTTGCCTGGGCTACAGTGCTGTGGTGTCAGCCTAGCTCACAGCAACCTCAAACTCCTGGGCTCAAGCGATCCTCCTGCCTCAGCCTCCCAAGTAGCTGGGACTACAGGCGTGCGCCACCATGCCCAGCTAATTTTTCTATATATTTTAAGTTGTCCAGCTAATTTTTTTTTTTTAGTAGAGATGGGGTCTCGCTCTTGTTCATGGTGGTCTCGAACTCCTGAGCACAAACCATCTACCCACCTCGGCCTCCCAGAGTGCTAGGATTACAAGTGTGAGCCACTGCGCCCAGCCAAGGTGTCTCTTCTTCACCCTACATTCTGTGGGCCATCGAGGGAAGTTTGCTCCACCTGCCCCACTCTAATGCCAGACCAACTGGGCAGCAGCTTCTTGGACGGGCTTTTTTCATGCATGGCAGAAGTGCAAGAGGGCAGGAGGAACATATGAGGCCTTTAAAGAAACTAGCACATGGCCACTTCTCCCCATGTATAAGTAATTTTGATAAGTGAAGTCTGAATGATTAAAGGCAAAACAAACTCTGTTGGATAAAGTTGTTTCCCACAGGGCTCTGGGTTAACAATTCTTATATGGCTACACATGTATTCCACAATTGCACAACTGAGTACATGAATGGCGGGTTATTGGGAGCTGGGTTTCTCACTGTTGGAGTGGGAGTTTATAGATAAGAAAGAGGAGGAGATTTGATGACACATGCAGTTATGGATTAGAGGTGGAACGTCACTAACAACTGTTTGGCTTGATATAGTTACAGATGGTGATTTATAGACATGTGCATACTAATATGGGTTAGTATACACACACGTGTGGATCTGGTCTGTCAGCTGAGAGGTCCTAAAGGGAAAGATTGACTTGATCAACAAATTGGCGAGAACAGATATGTATCTACTGTGCAAAAAATGTAGATGCTCCACCCTCAGGGATGGGAAGCATAACCATCCAGTCCCTGGATGTCAACTGCTCACAGCAATGTCACTCCACAGAGCACAGTGTGGAGGGGTGGGGAAAAGAGCAACTTTGGAATGGAAAGCCCTGACGAATGCTGCCGCAGCCAGGTGCGGAGGGTAGCCAGCATCAACGGCGGTGAGCCATGTCAATACAGGTACCCTTCACTGGATGGGAGGAAAAAGTCACTTTATGTCTGTGGTCTTTCTCCCCCAAATCCATAACCATAATCATGAAAAAAATGTCAGAATAATAATCCCCATGGAAGACTATTTTACAAATTGCATACTAGTATTCCTCAGCACTACCGAGGTCTTTAAAAACAAGGGAAGTCTAAGAAACAGTCACAGCCAAGAGAAGCCTGAGGAGACAAAAATACGAAATATGATGTGGTGCCCTGCACAGGATCCTGGAACTGAAAAATGAAAAGACTAAAGAAATGTGAATAAATTTTAGACTTAGATAGTAAGAATGTGTCAATAATGGTTCATGCATTATAGCAAACGTATCATACTAGTATAAGATGTTAATAAAAGAGAAAATAAATGGATGAAGAAAACTGTTATGAAAAAGTTGCAACATCCCTGGAAGTCTAGTGATTAGTGAAAAAATAAAAATAAGAAAGAATGAAAAATTGCAACAAATGTAGTTAAATGATCAAATCGGCTTTCATTTGTGATTCATGCATCAGGGCAGCATCTTCTGCAAAAATTTAGGCAAGGTGCTCTGATGAGCTGAGCACAGGAAGTGGGCTTCATAGGCAGAAAAGGGCTGAAAAAAACAGAAATAAAAAAATAAAAAGTGGATTGGTCACTTCAAGGTTACTTTCTTTACGGGGTTAAAGGCATGGAGACTTCCTTATTGTGCTGGCAAAACTGGCCTGTTTGGCAATCTGGCTATTATTCTACTTCCCTGATTGTTTGAAAGATCAGATAAACAATTTGGTTTCAGTTTGGTGATGTGAAACTTGACCAACTTTGATTTGGTGTCATGGGGCCAACTGGAGGAGCTCGGTTCAAATCAATGACTTCCTATAGATTTCCTTGAAACAGTATATAGAAACTCTCTGTGCTATTTTCACAATTTTTCTATAAATCTAAAACTGCTCTAACATAAAAGTTTATGCAAAATTTTCAGAAAATTTTCAAAATAAAAAAGATTCATAATCACCGAAAATAGTTTTATTGCAGCAATGAATTATTTTATGATACCTGGTAATTAAAATGTTTTGAATTCCATGCTCATCATTTTTCTGAACAAAGGACTGATATTACTTACCTAATGTTTTAGTGAAAGAAGACAGAAGGTTAGAATTACTAAAAACAGGAAGTTGTTTGGTAGAGGGCCTGAATGCAGCCTCTGCTCAGATGTGTCATATTAAGAATTAATGAAGTGTTAAAAATGCAAACAAGGAAATTAAATCCAGCACATAAACCTAAATATGAGGTTAAGTGTAGAAAGCTGTTTGAATATCTGCATGTCTATTTCTCTTGTTGATTTTTAGCAGCAAGAAATTGATTGTAGACATCTCCTGTTTTGATATAATCAATAAATATTGAAAATCCCCTACCTTTGTAGTAAAAGAATAACTTTACATCAAAGTTAGAGATAAGCAGATGTTTATAGGTTCTTCAAGTGCACCGTTTAGGAGCAATTTTGAAAACTAATTGTTACACTATTAAAATTTTCATGAATACTAAAATATTAATGTATATCATCAAATTATAATTTTTATCATCAAATTGCCCTTTTATGTGCTAATGCATCGTTATTACTTAACTTTGCTATAATCAGTCCCCTTATATAGTTCAGTAAAATAAAACCAGGCCCATGATTTACAAGACTTATCCAGGGGAAATACTTAATAAATTATATGACATGTTCTGTTACTACTGAAAACAGTCAATCTCTTTTTTTTCAAAGCAGAAAGTAATAATCCCTCAGCTTGGTGACAGCATGGTGACGCCTCCCACTCTTTTTGCCACACTGGCCTGGTCAGGCATTCATCAGGCCTGCACTAACTTAACCATCTAGAGTGTCTGGGTGTCAGTTTTCTGTGACAACTCTTAGTTTTATTAAGTTTGCAAATAATGAAAACAAATCTCTCTAAAAGATTTAAAAGAAAAACCCCCTATATGCATTTAAATCTACCTCCATCATCTAGGTATCATAGAGATTCCTAAGGGAATCTGTATTAGATATTTCATGCACTGTTTTATCTTAATATGATTCACTCAGATAAATAGCTTGCTTCCTTACATCATACTGTCTGTGAATACATTTTTAAGTTCCAGAGAGAATTATCCAGGCATGTAGCTTTTTAATTAAAAAGAGGAAGATTAGTCAACCTTTTTTCATGAGATAAACATGTGAAAGGCAAGCTTTAATTACTCTTTTTGAGGTTCCCTTCCCAATTGCAGAGTCGGATTTCAAACTGAGTGTTGGGAGTGAGCTAACACCTGGGAGAAGGGGCGCACCTTGTGGCAGGTGGAGTCTGAGGTCTGAGTGGCCGCAGAGGGCGCGCGGCCTGGGCAGGCCTCTCCCGTCTCTCTGGACTGATCCGTGGCGGCAGCTCGCACTGCACGGAAGCTGCGGGGCCGGCCTTGCCGCACCTCCTCCTCGCCCTCTCTTCAGCACACCCGGAGTCCTTGTTGCTCATAGATGGCTGTAAACACAGTCTACCCGCAGGGTCTGCTTCACAGTTTCTACAATTCATTAGTGTTCTTCTCTCTTACGCTGCGTGCTGTGCTTAATGGCTGCCATTTCTCTGTCTTTTCAGAAGACATCCTTTGTGGTGCCATAGCACATGGATTTCAGAGCCACCTGTGAGGAGGTAAGTAAATGGCTTTCTGCTTTTCAAATGGGGAAAACTGATTAGAAGCAGGGAACTCTTGGCTCCACTTTACATCCATGGGACACTGCTTGGGGTAGAGGATGGGTGCTGGCTCTTTTCATTTCCAGAGTGTGCGCTCCTTCTGCAAAGCTAGAAGACCAAAGTGTGCCGGGAGAAGCCTTGGATTTTAACTCTTTCTCTAAGAAAACTGGAGCATATTTAATACAATGAGCCACTCCTCTCCATCAACTCTGCACTGCATGCTTTTAGGCAGTGCACGTGTTGGAAGGCATTCTTTTCACGAAAATGGTTATGAATTAGAAGGCATCTAAGGTTTCTTTCAGCATTAAAATCCTATGATTTTATTATTCTAATACTTAGGTATTTCAATATTATTTAAGTATTAATACATGGCAATTCCAATTCTCTGTGGAGCTGTCTTCACCTGACGGCATGAGTTAAAGGGATGCGTCACTCTTTCAAGGGTGTTAAAGACCCTTCAAGTGCAGAGTTCAATGGTGGGTGGAATTGGGGCATTGGGAACATAATCATCCTGCCTCAGGAAAAAAGACTGTCTTTTCTTTTTACTACACATAGCACAGCAGAGAAAGCATTGTTTTTTCACTTCTCAGACAAAATACCGATATTCATAGGCTAAAAATATTTCATATTTGTTTAAACATTTTAAAATAGTTTTAGTGTATAAATGACCCAACAAAAACCAACTATAACTGGATTACCTATGGTAGTGAAACAAACCAATTAAAGACCTTAGTTCTTAACCTTTGTCAAGATTGTTCTTTTAGTGAAATGTTGTGTGTTTAAGTTTCTTGCATGAATTTGTGAAAAGTAATTCCTTATTTTCCTCTAAAACACTTGCAAAAATATCAGCTTAAAAATATTTGTCATAGTCGGTACAAAGTTTTGAATGTAAGTATAAAGTCTTTCAGAAAAGGAGTGGATTGCTTTTATATTTCCATCTTTATGTTTCTGTTTTCAATAGTTTAAATATGCTAACACTTTAATCACATCTGTATGCTAATGTAATGCTAATTTAATTTAACTATACATTACATTATAGTTGTTTGTTTACAAACTTCTCTCGTGCTACATTGAATACTATAAGGTCAGAGTGTATTAATTATTCATTTTCTAAAAATCAGCATCTATCGGTTCATACATTTTTAAAAGTTAAATTAGTGAACTAGAAGCTTGATATGTTATTCTATGCTTAAATTTTAATTCTGTGCCATTTCTAGCTTTAATGGCATACTTAATTTTAAATGTAGCAAATCTTCTATTTCCATCAAAGTGTTACCTTGTGCTTTGAGTGGTAAAGCACACATTAAAACCATGTTGGCATTTGTGTGACTGAGCTACACATAGGCACTTGAGGTTCCTACGGTAGAGACTGGGTAGTGGCCACAGACTATTTTAACAAATGTTTTATCTTTGACTTCAGTGGCTGGCAAGATTTCCAAGACCTTTTTTTAAACAAAATTGTTTTGATGTATTGACTTGAGGTATCTATCAAATTCTAAGGTTCAGAAGATTTACGTACAATGCTAATAACATGATCATCTTACCCTTGCTTCTTTGTTTTCTTGCAATGAGCCTCTTGCCGCCCAACCAGGTTCATTGCCTGCTGCCCAATAAGAAGCCAACACACTGAGTCAGCAGGGTTTACAAGGCAGAGAAAGAGTTTATTCTGCATAGCGCTGAGCAGGCAGACAGGAGAAATTTCTCAAATCTACCTCCCGGAGAATTTGGGAGACAGGGTTTTTAAAGACAATTTGGCATAGGCAATTGAGTCTAATTGGCTGGGTTTGGGATGGAACCATAGGATTGTAGAAATTGCTTTGCTGATCAGGTTCTTGGGTAGGGTCACAAGACCAGTTGAGTCAGTTCCTCCATATGGGCTGTCAGTCTGGGTGGGTCAGCTGCTCCACTGGAATGTGGGACCTGGAAGAAATCTCAGGAACTACCCCTTGGTTTCAAAAAGTGATGTTATCTATGGAGAAAGCTAAGAATCTTTATGACCACCAGCTGTGTGGCTCTAGAGTGACAATCACAGAGAAGCAAACGGGGACAGTGGCTAAATAGTATCATTATTTTTAGGCAGGCCTGTGCCTTATTTTTAGCTAGGCCTTTACTACAGTTCTTGCCTTGCACCACTTTTTATTAATTTGTAAGGGTGGCTTTAAGCCCCATTGGAAATCTCTGCTGGTTTAGACTCTGTCTCTAGGAGGGAGTAAAACTGACTCGAGCTACCGGGCCAGGGTATCTGTGTGTCTTCCGCACACCGGCTGTGCTGGCAGGAACCCGGGACCCTGGATGCTTTGAAGATGATCAAATGGCTCTGAAAATGGACCAGAGTCAAAGAGTTTGCCTGAAATTTACAGTCTTAGAATGTTTAAGTGGACAGGAACCATAAAGATAATTTAGCCTGTCGCTTCCCACGTGAGGAAACAGGAGGTTTTATGAAATCCCGAGTGCCAATTAATCAATTAGTTAAAAGTTGAGCCCTAATGTGTAGTTTGGAACTCCTGATTCTAAGTTTAAACTTCTTTCTAAGGTACACATTACTAGAACTTACATCACAGTCAAAGATATATTAAATAAAACTTGTTTTCTCTTGACTGCTGAAGAGAATAAAGATGAAAATCTGATATTCATGGCTGTCAGGCAGATCAAGGTGGAATGTTACCTTTACCAAGTGTGGATGTCAGGAAGTCTCTTCTTTGTGAAGGACTAAAAGAAGCATATCCAGATCATTTCCATTTGAAAGTGTCTTAAGTATCTAGTATAGTACCTTTTTAAAAGAAAGGTTTATTTATAGTTTAGGAAATTTCTGTTATTAAAAAGAAAATGTTGCTATTCTTTTAAGGAATCCTGACTTAAAAGTCTCAGAAGAAGCAAAAATGAGAGTGAAGACTTTCAGAAAGTACACTTGGGAAAAGTACAAAATATACAATTTTGAAGAAAATGCATACATATAGCCTGATGTAATTACTGATTTATTCTGCTTTTAAAAAGTGCCATCAAAATAAATCTGTGTTCACATAAGCCAGTATGCTTTTTTTAGTCTAGCTTTCCTTTATATTTCATTTTGCCTTCTACATTCATGAAAATATGATCCATGTGGTTGTGTTAACTATGAAAATATGTTATTTCTTTATAACAAATGTTTAATATTTACTAAATTATATACATATAGTATAATTTATTTCTTCTTATACTGAAATATAATCTGTGACTATGATCCAATCAACAAGTGTTGAAAGAAGTCCTACTCTAAACAAACTACTATACTACTTCTTGTAGATCCTTAGCAATGAAAAGAGCAATAGCCTCTTATTAAACTCTTCTTGACATAACAATATGCAAGAAGTTAAATGTGATATAGAACAAAATATTGCTGAAGTCACTACATGTGATTCCAAAATATAATACTGATGAATTTAGGAAGAATATTTATTTAAGAAAAGTGCTGAGTTCTTAAAAGTGAGGACTCATCTTAGAATGGAGTAGTCCCAGACGGTGTCAAAGAGAAGGGGTTTTGTTCTAGGACTTCAGAAGTGGCTGGAATTTAGTAAGGAAAAGGCCATGATGAGAAGCGATCCCGGATGGAGGTGGAGGCTAAGAAGTGCCTTGCCTGAGAGGCCTGGCAGGCACCCACTGCTGCAGTGCCGTGCAATATAAGAACAGCGAATTAAATTATATTTGCCACTCAAAATATAGAAATCCTGAATATCTGCAAGAAATTTGCAGCTCATATCATGGTCTCTACCTAGTTTCTTGTAGTTTGTAGTTTCTTACATCTGATATTGTGAATTCTACATTTCAAAGTTAAAAGAACATAGATTTTAAAGCTTCCTAAAAACTTGCTTTGTATTCTTTGAAACACTAGAACATAAATTAAAAAGGTCTTAACTTTTAAGTAGAAAATGGATGATATTCTACTCTTGGAAGTTCTTAATTCAGTCCTAAGTTTAAACAAGTATAAATTCTCAGTAAGTTTAAATGTGAGATTTGTTTATATAACAAGGAGTAAATTCCTGAAAATTCATAACCACATTTCACTGGTTTGCGGAAAACATAGCCAAAGACTGAAGCTTAAAAGTGTCACCTTTTAAGTAATTACGAAGTATTACCCTATGATAATTCCCTTAAGCAAATAGTGTGCAATATGGATTTTGGAAAATCCAGCTGTTACATAGGATCGATACATCAGACACAGGAAAATAATATTTGACATATCATTTTCATGAACCATACCTTTAAAATAATATTTTGTGTATGTTTTTAATTAAGTGATAAATTTATACAATGTGTGTGTGTGTGTGTGTGTGTGTGTGTGTGTGTGTATATCTCACATGCATTCTCCATGCATGTGCAATGCATGCAGAGTCAACAAAGTTTGGAGACAAATGATCGCTACATTAATAAAGAAGAAGAAGATGAGTGTATGTCTTAAGTTTATACTAAAATTGGGGGCTATAATTGTTTAGACGATTTTTAATTTTTAAAGAATTTGGGTGCACAGATCTGTGAAGACCTTGCAGGTGGGGCTATTTTAGCTTGTATGGTACCAACAGCCACGGTCATGTAAATTGCAGAGCGGTCTCTTAATTTTGTCTCTGGTTGTCATTGTTTTAGTACATGAAGAGCAACCGGTTTAAGGTGATATTGTTCTGTTTAGAATTGCTCCCGCTCCGTTAGGAGATTCTGATGATCAAAAAGCTCTCCAGCGAAGGACGCCAGGCAGCCACGCCATCGAATGCAGCACGACAGGCGGCATCCCGACCCGTCTCTGCACAGGGCCGCCCGAGCCGGCTGGGAGCACGGACGGGCCGGCTGGGCCCTGGCGCCGCTGCTGGGGCAGTCGGGGAGAGACGGGCCAATAGTCCCGGCAGGCAGTGAACCCTCAGAAGTAGCTGCCTCCTGAGTGCGCCTCCGGTGGGCGCTGCGGCTCGCAATCTGGGAGGGCCCCAGGTCCATTCATCCTCCTTCCCCGGTCTCCCCAGCCGTCTGGCTGGCGCGGCCGTCTGGCTGGCGCGGCCGCCTGCGGGCAACGGTCTGTGTCCGGCCACCACGCTCTTTCAACTTCCCATTTCTCCTCCACCTTCTGCACCGTCACAAGGAAAGGATTTAGAAAAAGTAAAAGTGGACACGTTATTTCCTTGCTCACGTTGCTCTGGGGCATCTCCATTTCCGTCGACACCCTGCAACGTAGCACAAAGCTCTGCAGCCCTTGTCCTCTCCCCACGCGCCCCTGCAGCCCCGGGGACCGCACAGGCAGCGCCCCCCCACCCCCACCCCCGTGGGACCCCACAGGCAGCGCCCCCCACCACACAGGCAGTCTCCCCCGCCCTCCCGGGACCGCACAGGCGGCGGGCCCCTCCCCCCCACACACAAGCAGCTGCCAGGAAGCCGCTGCCAGCTCTGTCCTTCTGTGTCACAGGACCTTCTGCATGTTCACGCTGACACCTCTTCACTCGTTTTTTCCTCTTGATTGAAAGGAATTTTACTTCTCTAATCATCGTTGCCTAATTTATTTTTTAAGACAAACCACACATGCTTTCTATCTATGAATCCTCCTTAACACCCTCCCTCCAGATTATCTAATTCCTCTCCTCGGCTGCTCCCATATCAGACACCATATTGCGTCTGGTTTGTACAAAGACTCTGAGGTCAGGAACTATTATCTGGTTCATGTCTGAGTCTCTGTCAGTGTTACACTAGGTTTGCTAAATTAATGAACGCATGGGATTTTAAATGTATTTTCATGTGCACCAGTTGAATTTTCATAATAGGATATATGTAATACCCATAGCCCCTGGAAGGGGTACTTTGATTTTGATTTGTCCTTGGCTCTCTGCTGTTTTCTCCAACCAGCTATTTTCTGCGGTACGTTTACATGTGTGTTTCATTCTAACAAAAAGCCTCCTCGTTCTTTATTTTCTATAACTCTTATCCTCTCAGGATCCAAAAGTGAGCTCAAAGGCTGTCCTCTGTTTGCCAGACAACTATTTAATAATTAGAGGACATTTTATACATTACTTGAGTGAATGCTAGCTTTGGCTAGAGCAGAACTGGGCTGAGAAAAACCCTCAGAGCTCTCCGTTTTAGTTCATCAAATTTTTCCTGGATGATTTTTTTGTAACTCTTTGATGTCTAACAATAATACATTTCTGGGCTCTCAGGGGAAAACACCCTCTCATCCTAAAGTTGAAACAGTGTATTATTTGTGATCACCAGCTATTCCATTACACTTCTGGGGAAAAATTGGCCTGGAATGTACTGTACATCGAAAAATCAGCAAATGTGCTCAATTATGGTCACTTGGCTTTGATGTATTATTTTATATTCCCTCTTCTCCCCACGCCCCTCCTGAGCGTCTCTCTGTTGGCCCCGGGCCAAGATCACATTGTAAGCAGGAGACACTTCTCTGTGTGAAAACATAGAAAAATTTTGTTCTATATTAAGGAAAGTATAATCTGCTCGTGCTGAAAGATTTTTGTCCCCTGCATATATCCTCGTGAATTATACTCTAGAATAGATTAATCAGCATGATCTAATGAGTACCTGCTGTGTGCCACAGTCACAGATGAAGAAAAGAGGCTGTCCTTGCTCCTGAGAAAGTTTGTTTTTTTTTTCTAAAAAGGCATCATAACTTTTCTAAATTAATTTCAGACTAATATAAGATTGTATGTGAGAGAGGGAAAGATGGCATGCCTCACCACATGGGATAAAGCAGTTTAAAGACGGAGTCATCTTTGGAGGCCGCAGTATATAAATATATTCCCATCAACATTATGGAATATTCTTTTAAAGTAATAACTCACTAGCAATCCCCATGGAAAGTATATTCCAAGAGAAAGTCAGGTATTATTTGCCTGGGATATTATCCTCTTAAATATAATGATAGATTCTGCATGAGTGAGATCATGTGGTGTTTGTCTTTCTGTGTCTGTCTTATTTCACTTAGCAAAATGTTCTCCAGGCTCATTCATCTTTTTGCACACAATGGAGTTTCATTATTTATTATGGCTGAATAATGTTCCATTGTGTGTATACATATACCACATTTTCTTTATTCATTCATCCATTGGTGGGCATTTAGGTTGAGTCCATATCTTGCCTCTTGTGAATAGTGCTGCAATAAACATGGGCATGCAGATGTCTCTGCAACATACTGATTTACTTTCCTCTGGATATAATGGAATTATATAATGGGATACAATATAATGGGATACAATCCCATTATATCCCAGTAATGGGATTGCAGGATCATAGTATAGATCAATTTTTAAGTTTTTGAGGAACCTCCATACTGTTTTCCATAATAACTATACTAATTTGCACTCCCACCAACAGTGTGTAAGAGTTCTCCTTTCTTCACGTCCTCTCCAGTATTTGCTATTTTTTGACATTTTGATAGCAGCCATTCAAACTGGAGTCAGGTGCTATCTCATTGTAGTTTTGATTTGTGCTTCCATAACAGTTAGTGATGTCAAAGTTGAGAGTATAATAGTGAGTACCAGACACTGAGGAGAATAAGGGTAAGAGGAGGTGGGAGAGGTTGGTTAATAGGTACAATGTTGCAGTTATGATAGGAGGAGTAAGTTCTACTATTCTCTTAAACAGTAAAGTGACTATAGCTGGCAGTAATGTATTGTATATCACAAATAGCTAGAAGAGAGAAGTTTGAATGTTCTTACAACAAAGAAATGGTACATGTTTAAGGTGATGAATATGCTAATGACCATACTAAATCATTATACGATGTATTCATGTATGAAAGCATCACATTGTACCACATGAATACATACAATGACTATGCATCCATTTAAATAAATACTAAAGATAAATATGAATCCATATGTATTTGTCCATTAAGTTAAGAATGGCTCGATAATTATTAAATGCAAGTGTCACTTCCAAAGTAGTCATTATTCCTGTCACCTTTTTGATGCAGAATAAGAACCAAAGATTATATTCTATGGCAAAGAATACTTCCCTTCGTATTTGTGACAAATGTGAATGTTGGGTGCACCTGCTAAGGAGAATACTTATACTTATCTGGCTAAAGTTTATAATACCAATATGCTTTGAGGAGAACAAGACTCTTGGACTTCTTCAGTGATTACTAAGGTGCCACTTTGAAGTTACACAGTACAAGTTCAGAAATTTTCACAGTCTGTTTTCACAATTTCCAAAAATATCTAAAGAAAAATCATTGGACTGGGAATCAGAAAATCTTGGATCTTTAACTGGGCTCTGTTTTTAACTAACTGTGTTAAAATAGGTAGTTTACTTCATCTCCTTTTCCTCATTTTCTCCTGGGTATTAAGTGTGTGTGTATGTGTTATGCATGTGTGCGCTTCATGCGTGTGTGTTCATGTGTGTATGCATGCATGTATGTGTGTGTGTGTGTTGGCAACTAAAAATGATGAAAAAGTTTAGAGTAGGGTGGGGTGGTGGAGGAAGGAACGGAGAGATGAGGGGAAATGGTATATTTTGGAAGTGATAAAAATGTCCTAAAATTGATTATAGTGATGTTGCACAACTCTGAATATACTAAAAATAGTCAATGTGTACTGTAAAGGATTGGGTTGTAGAATGTGAATTATATTTTAATAAAGCTGTTTATTTTTTATATTTTGATAATAAGTATTAAAGAAAGCTTTCATTATTCTTGAAATAGACTATACTGCTTACTTTCCAAATCTTCATGTGGATTTTCTGAAAAAGATTGTTATCTGGAAGTCCACTTTACTAAAAGTGGTTATCCTTTTTCTCTGCACCTATATTAAGCATTAAATTTCAGGCTCATCAGAGTATGTTGTTCCCAGCTCTCAAATGTTATTCATCATGTTTTACTGTAAATAGCCCATCAAGTTATAATGTATAAACTAAGTATATTTTTCTCCGTTTTGCTTCTGTGTTTTTGTGTGCAGACAAAGACAGGGACTTGTTTGCTGCAGGATGGTAATCAGGAGCCTTTCAAAGTCCGGCTGCACCTAGCCAAAGACATTTTGATGATCCAGGAACAGGATGTGATATGTGTGTCTGGTGAGCCTTTCTATTCTGGTGTAAGTAGCTTTTCTTTCCTTTGAAGTATTTTGGTGTTGTCTTTTGTTAATAAAAATGCACATTCACAGAAAACTCTTAATATATTTTTCTTTTAGTTTCAGAACCTAGTCAATGGTACTGCATGTAATTTTTGTTGACACCATTAAGTAAGCAGTGCTCCTATATAAGGACCTTACCTGGTCCACAAGTGTATACATTTAGGGCCCATCTCCAGCTCGGTGTCTCTTGATTCCCAGATGTTGTTGTGTGAAGGGAGTGACACCTGTGTTTTCTGATCATGAGAGGATGTGTTCTACCTTTTCCCACAGAGGGCTAACTGAGAGCTGTGCATGAGAGTGTCCCCTGCCCTGGTCTTGTCTTGCATCACCTTGACCCACTGGAGGTGGTGCCCTGGTGGCACACATTCTTCAGAACCAGTGAAGCAGGAGGCTTGAGGCAGTGGTCACTGGACCCAGTGTGAATGATTTCTCCCTGGTTAGTGCCTGAATGAGTCTGTGACTTCTTTACTAGAATTATGCTTAAGTGTTGTAGCAAATTCTTCTCTCTAATACTCTAACCCACTGATGCATGATACTGCTGATAATCTAGCCTCAGAGAGAACCATAAATTATCACACAGAATCAATTGTTGTACTTACTGGTGCCAAAGCAGAGCTGTGGAAGACATCCTGAGGTGAGATCAGATTTTATTTGACAAAAAGATATTATCACAAAACAGGACAAGTTTTGGAGTTTATCATTACAGTGTAATATTGGTAAAAGCATCATCTTAATAGTGTTGCCATATGTGGTCTCAAAAGAAAATTATAGAAAGCATCAAGCAGTCTGCTCTCTGGTTTCCCCAGACATCTGTAGATATTTAGCATGAAGATTTAATTTGTACCTATTAACAGACTTACCTTGAAGTGTTTAGTTAGTGGTGAATAATGCTGAACTTGAGTTTTCACATCACTTCTTACTAACACCCTATGGGAGTCATACAAGGTTCTAAATCAATAGGCCTTTGCTAACTAAAGATAATGGATACTTTGCAGACTGTTAACTATTCTTTAGTCACAGACCATTTAAATCATCCTAAATCATGGCCCTGAATGTCAAGGCTGATTAAACTGTTCCCATGGGGTTGCCCTTTCTTCTCTTTGGTTAATAACAGAGAAGCGGTATGAATCATATAACCCCCAAGAACAAATATATCACACAGGTCCCAGATCAGTAAAATATATCAGTAAAATACAGTACTTCAACATTGAAATAATGTTATTGACTTTAAATTTTATAGTCAAAATAGCTAATATACACAGACCTACTCTCTCCTTTAAAGATAATTGTGCATATTCATGAAGCTCAGGATGCTAGAAAGAAGTCAGACAGAATTAAGGAGGAACATCAATGGTAATGTCAACAGATGCAAAAAAACATTGAGAAAATTCAACATACATTTATAAGAAACACTTTCAGTAAATATGAATAGGAGGGAACTTCCTTAATCTGATAATAGGCATCTAATGAACACTTCCCACGGTCACGATAGCTAACATTGAACATTGTCTCTGAGGTTGAAAGCAAGTCTAGGATTACACCTTGGTTCACTTCACTCAACATTGTTCTTAATGTTCTAGCTGGTACAGTAAGTCTGAAAATGAACGCAATCAACATAAAAATTATAAAGGAACAGATAAAATTGCTTTATTTGTAGATTCCACGATGGTATACAGAGAAAATCCTAAGATATCTACAAAAGGTATAGTCACATAAAAATTTAGTAAGGTTGCTGAGAGTGAGGACAATATTACAAGTTAATTTTGTTTCTATAAATAGCAATAAGCAACAATAAAATGAAATAAAAATGCAATTCACAATACATCAAAAAATAACACAAGTAGAAATAAATTTAACAAAAGATGTATATGGCCTCTACCCTGAAAACTACAAAACTGTGATGAAGGAAATTAAAAGAAATGAGTAAATGGAGAAGTATGATTAAATTGAAAGTTAAGTATTGAATAGTCAAAACCCCAAAATATTTTTGTAGATATGTAAAAGTTGACTCTAAAATTTACATGGAAACACTAAGGACTTATAATAGCCAAATCAATCATGGATAAGAAAAATAATGTTGGAGTGTTTATTCTTCTTGATTTCAGAACTTACTGTAAGACTGCAATAGTAAACATAGTGTGAAATCATAATTACATCCATGCGAATCTATGGAATATTATAGATAGTCCAAAAATAGACTCACACATGGTCAGTTGAGTTTTTTATTGTGTTAAAATATACATAACACAAAATTTGCCACTTTAATCATTTTTAAGTGTACAGTTCAGTGGCACTGAATGCATTTACATTGTTGTGTAACCATCACCACTATCCATTTCGAGAATTTTCAGATTCCATAGTGAAAATTTGCATCCACTAAACAGTAATTCCTCATGCTCCTCCCCTCTTAGGCCCTGGTAATCACTATTCTACTTTCTATCTCTATATATTGACAACTCTGGGTAACTCATGTTAAGTGGAATCATATAATATTTGACCTTTTTGTTCTGGCTTATTTCAGTAAGTATAATGTCTTCAAGATTCACCCATGTTGAAGGGTGTATCATAATTTTATTCATTTTTAAGGTCAGGCGATATTCCATTGTATGTATATACCACATTTTGTTTATCTAGTCACTTAGCAATGGAAATTTGTGTTATTTCTCCCTTTTGGCTCTTATGAAAAATAGTATCATAAGCATGGGTGTACAAATATCTGTTTGAGTACCCACTTTGAATTCTTTTGTGAATATACCTAGAAGTGGAATTGCGAGATGAAATGATAATTTTTTGATGACCCACCACACTGTTTCCCACAGTAGTTGTATCATTTTACATGTTAACAAGCAATACATATGGGCTCCAATTTATCCACATCCATGCCAAGCCTGTTCTCTATGTTTTTGATAATAGCTATCCAAATGCGTATGAAGCTGAATCTCACTGTGGTTTTCATTTTCATTCACCTATTGATTAGTAATGTTGAACATCTTTTCATGTGCTTATTGGCCATTTGAATGTCTTCTGTGGAGAAATGTCTATTTATATCCTTGGCCCATTTGTGAATTGGGCTGTTTGTGGGCTTTTTTGGTGTTCAGTTGCAGGAGTTCCTTATATATTTTGGATATTAATACCTTATCGGATATGTGAATTACAAATATAAATATTTCTCTCAACTTATGGGTTGCCTTTTTACTCTGTTTATAGGGTCTCTTGATGCATAAAGGTATTTAATTTTGAAGAAATTCAATTTGTCTATTTTTCTTCTGTTTGTTGTACCTTTTGTGCCATATCCAAGAAATCATTGCCAAATCCAATGTCTTGAGTTTCCTTCTCTACTTCTTCTAGTAGTTTTAAGTTTTAGTTCTTACTTGTAGGAACTTAATCTATTTTAACTTAATTTTTGTATGCTGAAGTAAGGGTCCAACTTCATTCTTCTGCATGTGAATATTCAGTTTTCCTGACACCATTTGTATCTTAGCACTCTTTCAAAAACAGTATAATATATAATATAGTATATTTAATATAGTATATATAGAGAGAGAGAGAGAGAGAGAGAGTATTTCTGTTCTCTCTGTTTAAGTCTCTTGGTCTATATATTTTTATTTATGCCACAGTTATGGCTTTTTGTTTGTTTTTGTGTTTAATGTAGCTTCACAGCAAAATTTGAAATTAGAAGGCCTGTGGTATGCAGCTTTATTTTTTTCAAGATTGTTTTAGACAAGTGTACCCACTGCGCCCACTTCTATTCACATAGTGCTGGAAGTCTTAGCCAGGGCAATCAGGCAAACAAAAGAAATGAAGAACAATAAAGGACATCCAAAACAAGAAAGAGGTCAAACTATTCTTGTTTGCTGATGATATGATTTTGTATCTATAAAACACAAAAAGTCTTCATGAAAGACTCTTAGAATTGATAAATAAACTCAGCAAAGTCTCAGTTACAAAATCAATGTACACAAATCAGTATAATTTCTATATACTAACAATAGTCAAGCTGCAAGTCAAACCAAGGACTCAATACTATTCACAATAGCTGCAAAAAAATACAATATCTGAGGATATACTTAACCTAGAAAGATCTCTACAAGGACAACTACAGAATACTGATGAAAGAAATCACAGATGATAAAAACACATGAAAAAACATCCCACACTTGTGGATTGGTAGAATCAACATCATTAACATGTCCATACTTCCAGAAATGATTTATAGATTCAATGCAATTCCTACCAAAATACCAATGCCATATTTCACAGATCTAGAAAAAATAATTATATGCATTATTTGGAACCCAAAAAAGAGTCTGACTAGCAAAAGCAATCTTAAGCAAAAAGAACAAATCTGGAGGCATCACATTACCTGACTTCAAATTATACTATAAGGCCATAGTAACTGAAACATCATGGTACTGGTATTAAAGTAGAGACATAGACCAATGGAACAGAATAAAGAGCCTAGAATTAAGACCATCTACCTGTAAACAAGTGATCTTCAACAAAACAGACAATAACATACACTGGGGAAAGGAAGCCCTATTCGATAAATGGTGCTGGAAAAACTGGATAGCCACATGAAGAAGACTGAAACAGGAGCCCTAGCTCTTGTCATATATAAAAATTAATTCAAGATGGATAAAAACCCTAAATATAAGGTATGAAACCATAAAAAATTCTAGAAAAAAAACATAGGAAAAACTCTTCTAGACGTTTGCTTAGGCAAAGAATTTGGTTGAGACTCCAAAGGCAAATATAGCAACAATAAAAATGAATACATGGGACTTAAATTAAAAAGCATCTGCACAGAAAAGGAAATAACAGAGTTAATAGACAACCTACAGAATTGGAGAAAATACTTGCAAACTATACATCTAATAAAGGACTAATATCCAGAATCTACAAAGAATGTCAACAAATCAGCAAGAATAAAAACAAAAATTCCCAGTAAAAAGTGGGCAAAA